ATACTACACGTTGAAGTTTTCTTGAGTTAACATTAGTGTTATATTCAGGGTATTTTTATGGCAAAAAATAATTGATGTCACTTATTTGCTTAAATCGCAAGTTAACTAAAAATTTAAAAGCAAAGAAAAGTCCACAAAAATTCATATCTTTGTAGAAAGCGTTTCGAAATCCAGCTCCATCGCAATACGCAAATCTGTAGTACCGGAGGTGGAAGCTAACACCCTAAAGTCACTGTCAGAAATAGGGACATCACACTGCTCGGCGTGAGTGCGCACAGCCGAATGAGGTGGGCGCGATAGCAACTGTCGGTTCTACAACTTATGCTCAGCGACTTTTCTTTGCTTTTAAATTTTTAGTTAATTTTTTTTTAATTTGGCCGATAAAGAGACCATCATGCAACCATCTGGTTGGTATTATTGGTCTCTTTTGGTAAAGAGACCAATATTTTTGGTATTTTGGTTGGTAATACCAACCATCTGGTTGGTATTATTGCTAATCTTCTTCTCAACGTCCTTTTTGCACCCCCAGCTGAAGGTGTACGTGCCATCTTCTCAACGTCCTTTTTGCACCCCCAGCTGAAGGTGTACGTGTCGATCCACGCCTACAAGCAGCTGTGGATGTACCCGTGGGGGCACACGAAGGCCCCGCTCTCGTCCCCCGCCAACGCCCGCGTGGCCAAAGTGGCCACTGACGCCATCAACACATTCGCGCAGACCAAGCAGTGGGTGTATAATAATTTAGATAAAACTATGATCATTCATTTAAAAAGAAAAATAAATTAAGTTTGTATGAAATGGGTAATTATATTATCTCTTAGCTATAACGATAAAGTACATCTTAAAACCCCTAGCAAAACAGTCGCGCAGACCAAGCAGTGGGTGTCCAAGAATTTAGACAAAACTAGCTTTAATTTAAAAAGAAAAATAAATCAAGTTTGTATGATAAGGGTAATTAAATGATTTCGTAGCTTTAATGATAAAATACATCTTGAAGACCATTGCAAATATAACAATAAATAAATTGTAAGATCAACCTTATCTTACTTCATGCTAAACTTCAATCCTTTTTTATTAGCAGTGTGAATATTTTATAAATTAAATGAAATGATAAACATGATCGATATTTAAAGTTTATAATCAGTGCCCACTGCCCACCAATTAAATCGCTTATCATGAAATAAAAAATTATTTTTCGAATACATTATTTTTCGATCAAAACTGCAGCTATAAATTCACCGAGACATCAAAACAAATAAGACACCGCTGAAAATTCCGTGTCTTCTATGTACTTCAAAATATTGCGCGTGAATAAAGAGGCAAATCACATTTCATCATCTTTTTCTTCGAATTTCACCAACTGGGGCAAGAGCCTATTGAATAATACNGAGGTGAGGGATGAGGGGTTGAAGGGAGTGAGGGAAATAGAGGTGAGGGGTTGAAGGGGAGTGAGGGATAAAGATGTGAGGGGTTGTAGGGGAGTGAGGGATTTAGAGGTGAGGGATGAGGGGTTGAAGGGAGTGAGGGAAATAGAGGTGAGGGGTTGAAGGGGAGTGAGGGATAAAGATGTGAGGGGTTGTAGGGGAGTGAGGGATTTAGAGGTGAGGGATGAGGGGTTGAAGGGAGTGAGGGAAATAGAGGTGAGGGGTTGAAGGGGAGTGAGGGATAAAGATGTGAGGGGTTGTAGGGGAGTGAGGGATTTAGAGGTGAGGGATGAGGGGTTGAAGGGAGTGAGGGAAATAGAGGTGAGGGGTTGAAGGGGAGTGAGGGATAAAGATGTGAGGGGTTGTAGGGGAGTGAGGGATTTAGAGGTGAGGGATGAGGGGTTGTAGGGGAGTGAGGGATAAAGATGTGAGGGGTTGAAAGGGAGTGAGGGATATAGAGGTGAGGGATGAGGGGTTGAAGGGGAGTGAAGGATATAGAGGTGATGGGATGAGGGGTTGTAGGGGAGTGAGGGATATAAAGGTGAGGGATGAGGGGTTGTAGGGAAGTGAGGGATATAGAGGTGAGGGATGAGAGGTTGTGGGGGAGTGAGGGATATAGAGGTGAAGGGATGAGGAGTTGATAAGGTTTGAGATGAAATCAAGGATTTAAGGAAGATTGGAAGGTTAAAGCAGATTAATGAGGGTTAAATGAAAGGGTTAAAAGAGGTGAGAGGTTGATGAAGTGCGTTGAAGAGTATAAGGCTTGAAAGGGGTATACGCCTAATGATAGAGGTTAATGGGTCAATATCGTGATTGATAGGAATGAGAAAGGTCGATTGGGAATAGGTTTGGGTGATATAAACGAGAAATGGTTGTACGAGGTTTTGTTACGCATCAAGGACCTTGAATTACAGACCTCGATAATTTTTTTCACTTTAGGGCACTGCGCTTTTCAGTGCACATTTTCTTTGCTTCAGTAACAGTTTATAATATGGAGTTTTAGTTTAAAATTTTGATCATGGAAAATTATATTCATTATTGATGAAACTGCAGTTAGGTTCTCATATCTTCACACCATCGCCTATGCACAGAGGTGGACAGTAGCGCGCTACATGTAGCGGCCGCTACTAGCGGCCGCTACATTTTCAGTAGCGGCAGCGGCGCTACATTTAAGCAATTGTAGCGGTAGCGGTAGCGCCCGCTACATTTACAACATGTAGCGGTAGCGGTAGCGGCCACTACATTTCAAAGTAGCGCTGCCTATACATTATTTTACTGATGTACAC